CCACAAAGTCACCAAAGATTCCAAATGCAAAGTAACCTTTTTCTCTTCATATTGTGCATTTCAAAAACATGACACGAAGGAGATGATTGGGCATGCTAGTGAGAAAGGTGGTCTTTATTTTCTGGATTTTCACAATGGTGGAGATACAATTAAGAATTCTTTATCTAGTTCATTCTTGTCTGAATCTGTTATGTCCAATAAAGAGAGAGTTTGGCTCTATCATCGTCGCTTAGGTCATCCTTCTTTTTATGTAATCAAACTAATGTTTCCATCGTTATTCAAAAATTTGGTTGTTGAGTCTTTTCATTGTGAAGATTGTGAAATCACAAAACATAAACGTGTTTCCTTTCCAATAAGCAACAAAAGATGTCACACTCCATTTTCTCTTATTCATAGTGATGTATGGGGACCCTCTTCCATTCCTAATATTTCCGGTGCTAGAGGGTTTGTATCATTCATTGATGATTGTACAAGAGTAATATTGATCTATTTGTTAAAGCAAAAATCAGATGTCAGCCACGTTCTTCCTACCTTTTTTAATCTGGTTAAAATCCAATTTGATGTGACAACTAAAAGATTCCGTTCTGATAATGCCAAGGACTACTTCAATCAAAACCTCTTTATTTTCTTCAAAAATGAGGGAATTATTCACGAATCTTCATGTGTCAATACTCCTCAACAAAATGGGATAGCGGAGAGAAGAAACGGTTTGTTACTTGACATTACTAGATCACTATTGTTTCACAAAAGGGTTCCAAATCAGTAGGGGGGGGAAGCTGTCCTAACTGCTGCATATCTTAGTAACAGAATACCATCAAGAATTCTGAATTTTAAGAGCCCACTTGATACTCTTAGGAGTTTCTTCCCAAATTTCGAAAATTCCAGTAAATTGATTCCTAGAATCTTTGGGAGTATTGCCTATGTTCATATTCATTCTCAGAATAGAGGCAAATTAGATCCACGTGCTCTTAAGTGTGTTTTCATTGGATATTCTCCTACTCAAAAAGGATATAAGTGTTACCAACCATCAACCAAGAAGTTTTTTGTTTCAGCTGATATCACATTTGATGAAAGTGAGTCATTTTTTAAAAATTCTTACATTCGGGGGAGTCATTGGATGGAAAAGGATCTCTAGACTTATCACTACTTGATTTGTCTATTCCTAGCCATGACAAATCCTTATCTATGTCCTTGCCTGAGTCACCATCTCTTAACTCATTTGAGTCTCTAAATCTAATGAACCTATTGAGTCTTCTAATCTTGATATAGATAAAGGAATTCAAGAAAGTAATCCACCATTGCAGGTTTATTCCAGAAGAAAGAGGCTAACTGATCAAACTACTCAACCACAATTATCTCCTCATGTTCTTGCTCCTAATACCTAACCTGAACCTGTTGAACCATCAGAAACACCAAACCAAACTGATCATGAAGATCATAACCAACCAAATGATCTTGACCTTCCCATTGCACTTAGAAAAGGAACCAGAACCTGCACACAACACCCTTTGTGCCTTTCCTTGACCTATCAAAACCTATCCCCAAGCCATAAAGCTTTTCTCAGTAATCTCCACACAATTCCTGTTCCAAAAAATTTGTCTGAAGCATTAGGCAAGAAAGAGTGGGAAGAAGCTATGAAGGTGGAAATGGAAGCATTGCAGAAGAATAAAACTTGGGAAATGGTGGAATTACCAAAAGGGAAAAAGCCGGTAGAGTGTAGATGGGTGTTTACCGTGAAATACAAGTCCGATGGGTCTATAGAAAAATTTAAAGCACGTTTGGTAGCAAAGGATTACACACAGACCTATAAAATTGATTATTTGAAGACTTTTGCCCCAGTGACAAAAATGAATACAGTGAGGATCTTATTGTCATTGGCTTGCGATTTTTAATTGGAACCTACATCAATTTGATGTTAAAAATGCTTTTCTACATAGAGATTTAGATGAGGAGATCTATATGGAGGTACCACCTGGTTTTGAAAGCAAGAAGGGGAATGGTATGTAGACTGAAGAAGGCACTCTATGGACTAAAGCAATCACCCCGTGCATGGTTTGGAAGATTTACAAAGGTTATGATCAAGCTAGGATATCGGCAGAGTCAAGAAGACCACACCTTGTTCATAAGGCACTCAAAAACAGGAAAGGTAACTGCTCTACTAGTCTATGTAGATGATATCATAGTAACAGATGATGATTCAGAGGAGATACACAATTTGAAGAATTGTTTACTCAAGGAATTTGATATCAAAGATCTTGGAAAATTAAAGTATTTTTTGGGAAATGAAGTAGCACATTCTAAACAAGGAATCTTTATTTCCCAACAAAAATATGTGCTTGATTTGTTGAAAGAAACAGGAAAATTAGGGTGTAAACCTGTGGCCACACCAATTGAATATAATCATGGGTTGTGTAATTCTCCAGAAGATTCTGTGGTAGATAAAGGCTCGTATCAAAGGCTTGTAGGGAAATTGATCTACTTGTCCCATACAAGGCCAGACATTGCTTTTGTTGTAAGTGTCGTTAGCCAATTTATGCATGACCCTAGAGAAATGCATCTCCAAGAGGCGAACAGGATTCTACAATATCTTAAAGGAAGCCCCGGAAAAGGAATACTATTCAGAAGAGGAGGAGACATGGTTTTAGAGGCTTATACTGATGCAGATTATGCTGGTTCATTAGTGGATCGAAGGTCAACTTCTGGACACTGTACCTTTTTAGGAGGAAATCTTGTGACTTGGAGAAGTAAAAAACAGAATGCGGTGGCCAGATCAAGTGCAGAATCCTAGTTCAGATCTATGGCGATGGGAGTTTGTGAGTTGTTATGGTTAAAGATAATCCTTGATGATTTGAAGATAAGATGGGAAGGACCTATGAGACTATATTGTGACAATAAATCAGCAATAATTATAGCTCATAATCCTGTACAGCATGATCGCACTAAGCATATTGAGGTAGATAGACACTTCATTAAGGAGAAATTAGATAGTGGACTCATCTGTACACCATTTGTATCTACAAAAGATCAGTTGGCCGATGTTTTAACAAAAGGACTGCCAAACAATGTGTTTCAAGACCTGATAAGCAAGCTAGGAATGGAAGATATCCATTCACCAGCTTGAGGGGGAGTGTTGAATGATAAAGGATTTCCAAGAAGAGATTCTCCATATCAAGATTTGATCCTCTAAGATTTGTCCATATCAAGTTTTGATTCTCTAAGATCTTTCCATATCAAATTTTGATTCTTTGTTTTGTTTTATTTTGTATAATCCCAGANAAGATTTGATCCTCTAAGATTTGTCCATATCAAGTTTTGATTCTCTAAGATCTTTCCATATCAAATTTTGATTCTTTGTTTTGTTTTATTTTATTTTGTATAATCCCAGATTTTATGGGATTTTGTTAGATTTTATGGGATTCTGTTTCTAACCTCTTCTTGTATATAAAGTCATGTATATGACATTCAAAAATATTAATGAAATTATTCAAGTTTCTTACTTTTTCCACAAAATGCATTACTTGTTTCAACAAAACAAGCTTGCATTAGGTACCCACCATAGAATAAGCATGGACATTTCTGTCATCTTGTTAAGGAGATGATAGAAAATATTCTTGGATGGAAGAATCCAAGAACAACAAATTTCTTTTTCCTTTTCTTTCGAAGGCAATATTGGAAAGATGAAAAGAAGCATGTAAGTTGATCTTACAAAACGATAGTAGAAGAAGTTCAAAATTTATGGTTTAGACTGAATCATAGCAAGCTCATTCTAGTTACGATGAGAGTGCTCCCTTGGAATCATAATTCTTACAGCTGCCTAGAAAAAAAGTTAAATTTCCAGCTAGGCCACCATAACAAGTTAAACCATATAAAATCTACTTTATCAGATAGATATAATTCAGAAGACACCCCAAGAATTATCTAACACTGCTCAATTAAGAAGTGCATCACCAGTATCAATTCAGGTAACATGCACCGAGACAACTAATGGAGAAAAACATCGTCCAAATACAAAATCAAGAGAAGGTCTCCACAAATATTAACAGAACACAAAATCAACAAAAGATGTATTTCCGAAATAAGCAATTTGATACACACACAGACACAGTAGTATCTGCTTGTTATTTTTGGAAAGGAGAATGAAGCTGGTTGATCGGAAAGGTGCTATCACCTAGAGACAGAGGCGGATGCAGCATTGCAGCCAGGTTCATCTGAACGATGCTTCGTAAAAAAATCCACCAAAATTGCAACAAATAGCATATGAACCAATCATTTTAAATATGAAATTGAGTTTAATGCTAAGTATCAACCCTCGAGCCTAAATCCTGGATCCGCCTCTGCCTAGAGACCAAAGAGAATAACAGCCCCACACTTAAAGGTAACAAAATATCAAAAGCTGTCTCGCAAGTTCTCTCTCTAATACAAATCTGTTATTTTCCATCATCGGACTCCCTTGAATAACATTGAGGTAGATAGTATTGCATTAATATCAAACCACAGAACCATCTAAGCATCAAAATGAACTATAGCAATACACTAGTAGAAGATATGCAGATGAGGACATTTTGAAAGAGGCAGCACAAACTTACAATTATACTTGGTGTCATGACCAACAACACGGTCATTCTCATCCACCAGAATACATCTGAAAGAGTGAAAACGTGGAAAAGGTGTTAAACTTAGCAAAAGGGGCTGGAAAATTGTTGCACCACTAAGTAGTTAGATGCAGATTTGAAAAGCATTAAAGCAGATAAAAGAAGTGCTTCAAAATAATTTCTTCAAACACCTGGTGGCAAAAATTCTAGAAAACATGCAATTTAACAACTATCACAAGATTATCCAGAATTTCATATCCCAGGGTTTAGATATAATTAAAAAAAAAAAAAAAAAAAAAAAAAAAGACATTTACGACATTCACCTAATCCTGTATCGTAGAAAATTAATTTTTTAATCTTATCTGTCAATAATAGGAGGAGCTTAGAAATGATATTGAATACGGCAGAAGGCGGTTTTCCTAAATTTGGAAAAAACAGTATATCCAAAATGATAAAATCACGTTGAGGGGGATAGAGAAAAGAGAACAGACTCGTCTTCAAACATGAGACGGCGCTGAACAGCGTCCATGTTAGCATCAGCAATGGCGTCACCCATTCTTGTAGAAGAGGAATAGCAGCGGAGAGAGGCAGCTATTCTATGGCTTTTAAGAAGAGGGGATTTGGATACGGATACAAGTGAGAGGGATGAAGGACAAGTTATAGGGGAGGCTGCGATGAACCTCCGCCAGATTTGAAAAGAAGGCGTAGTTGTCAGCGACATCTGGGACTTCTCCCCATCAACTGTTTGATTCCTCTCCTCTTCTTCTGCTTTTCCCCTTATATATTTTAATTCCCTCTCTTGGATTTTCTTCACTATCTCAAGGGGAAAAAAAAATTAAAAAAACAATTCCTACCTAATTGTTCGGTTGGTACTAAGTGGGCGTTTGGACATAAGATTTACTCCCTCCGTTTCAATTTATCTCAGTCTGTTTGACTGGGCAAAGAGTTTAAGAAAAAAATAAAGATTTTTGGAATTTGTGGTCCTAAACAAGTCCAAATGGGGCCAGAATATTTGTGTGGTTATAAAAGTTTCTCATTAAGGGTAAAGTTATAAGTTTAAGCTAAATTGTTACCAAATTTAGAGAGGGTTCATTCTTTTTGGAACGGACCAAAAAGGAAATAGGTTCACATAAACTGGAATAGAGAAAGTAAAAAAAATTCGGAAAAAAGTAAAAAAAATTAATTTGTTCAACAGCAAAGTGGAGGCAAAGTACAAGGGAAACATATTTGATCTCTAAGGGGTCGTTTGGTATGATGGATAAGAAAAGAATAATTTTAGGATAAAAATTTTAGTATTATCTTTTCTCTTGATTGGTTACTGATCCTGAGATAAGTTATTCCAGGACTAAAATAGTACTGGTATAACTTGTAATGCTTGTCAGATGGCGGAACAGTAATTCAAGGATAAGCTACCCCGTGATAAAACAGTAAAATTAACAATCCCACAATTAATACATCATACTAAACAATCAATAAAAAATAATCCTAGCATAATTAATCACATTATAAACTTATAACTAATCCCAACATAATTAATTACAACATAATTTGTCTTCAAACCAAAACGATCCATAAGTGAGAAGTATCACAACAAGTAAAATAAGCTAGAGATAAATGATAGAAATTCCTAAGTTACACGAATTACACACAAAAAAATTACCCAAATCCAAACAAGAGGTAAACTACTTTATTAACATCCTGCCTAGTCCAGTTAAAGTACAAACCATGGGATTGGTTCTTGAATAATCTTATTATGATGACTTCTGCAAGTTAGTAAAATAAACATATTATCAGAGTAACGCTGCTAACTTGTATTGCAACATTAAAATTGGGACAAATTCAAAAATAGCCCAGTTTCAAAAGTAATCGAAATTTAGCCATTTTTCATGTAAAGATAAATCTGAGCGAAAACATTATTTAAAATTCGGAAAATACGCCAGTATATTATGCTGGAATTCCAGCATAAGTATACTTGAATTCCAACATATTATACTGGAGTTCCAGGATAAGTATGCTGGAACTCCAGCATAATATGATGGAGTTCCAGGATAAGTATGCTGGAACTCCAGCATAATATGATGGAGTTCCAGCATAAGTATGCTGGAACTCCAGCATAATATATTGGAGTTCCAGCAAGTATACCGATCCAGCATAATATACTGGAGTTTGGAGCACCGGTGCTCCAGTCTCCAGTATATTATACTGGAGCCAGCAAAGTATACCGGTCCAGCATAATATGCTGGAGTTCATACACAGGTGCACCGAATTCCAGTATATTATGCTGGACCGGTCTCTGTTGCAGCAAAATAGTGGCTATTTTTCATTGACTTGGTAAAAACTGGCTATTTTTGAATGACCAATCCGAAAACTAGTTATACCGTGCTATTTTTACAATAAAATTATTAGGTAAGAAGACACTTTAATCAGATAGGGTCTGTTTGTTTGTTTTGCATGTATTGTGGTTACATGGACGTCCATATGTTTCCTTTTGAATAGAAAGGACAAGAAGTACCATTTTTTTATGTGATTTTGATTGGAAGAACTTACTTACTAGGTTGCAAATTCTCAACTGGCTGAACTAGTATCTGTACCTAGCCTAATGCTGCTCGGTGGGCCGGGCCTGAACCGGACCGGACCGGGCCCGCGGTCCTAACGGGNCTAGCCTAAGAATTCAATTACGTGTCCATCCTATTTTGCAATTTTCATCCAATAAGTTTGAAAACAAATTATTTTTGTATGGCTACACTAGAAAAGCAAAAATTAAGACAAGTAAGTACCCGTTTGACTATAGATTTTGCCAAAATATATTTGGGGCTATTTTGTCAAATATATATTAGGCCATAGATTTTATCTAAATTTTGGCAATTCCCAAAACCCAAATCCCAAAACCATTTGGCCCAAAATATCACTATTACATTTTTAAAAAATTGTCTCAACCTTTATAAAAGAGTCTGCCATTTATTATTTTGTAACAATGTTGTTTCGTCTTCTCGGTCATCTGATAGTGTATTATATAGTTCATTATAAAAATAATAATTTTGTACCAAATTTATTTATGTTCAGGACTATAGTATGCGATAATATAATGAATGTTATTGATAAAGGTATTGTCGGGTATTTGTGATAGTTTTTAGAATTTGTGGGTATAAGTTATGTTTCATATCTTTTCTTTAAAAATGAAATATATTTTGAAAACTTATGTCTAAACATATTTTTATCTTCAAACCAAACTTCATCCAAATCAGATTGTTCAAAACAAATTTGGAAATCTATGAGTAAGTATTAACTTGTCAGGGACTCTGGCTTTACAACAATATCTTTCTTGTTCTTTTCGATCAGTCAAATAAGCTTTTAAGAAATCATTTTTCACATTAGAAATTGATTCCCTTCTTTCTTTCTTTTATTAGGGAGATGATTCCCAACAACTCCCTTTCGCATTATTAAGCTGTATTTCGATCGTTTAGTAAAGTGTATAATCCAAATATATTTATATATATCACCAACATAAAAATGATTTTATGATTTTACACCATCACTTCTATCCAAAGAAGCTTTAATAGCGTAGAAATTTTTCACACTATCAGTCATATATAAATTAAATTACTTTTTAGTTATAATAGTTACATCACAGACAAATAACACAATAGGGAGCAAGATTTGGTAAGCTGCTTTAATATTCACTTTTAAGAGTACACCAAAATTAAAGGTTGCTCTTATGTGCAAATTCAGGTCAAATTATTGGACCTTTTCACAATGCTTCACTCTACATAAGAAATATATGTAACGTATTTCAAGAAAATGGACAGTTAGTACCACTTTAAAATCAAATTATTCGGAATCCATAATAAAATAGTCATACGTATACAAATATCTCTTGCTGTTACTGCTGACATTTGTTTGATTTTCCTTTTGTCATTGCTACTCTTAGTAATTATCCGAAAACAAGAAGTTTAACGATGTTTTTCATTTTTCTATGAGAATAACGCTGTAATTCGAAATGATCAAAGAGTAAAAGGAAATTTTTTGCACCAAATATACTAGAATTTTTTCACTATTATTTCTTTAAAGTAGAAATAAAAGAATTTATTGTCGTAGTGGAAAACGATCTAACCTACCACCAAAAGGTATGGTGGAATGGTAAAGTTACTCTACTCTTAGTCATAGTCTCACACGAATTCAAATCTTTGGAATGAGTCATCTTTGATAAAAAGCGCTAAAATCCTTCATATATAATGGTATTTCTACTGCATGAATCCTGATTAGACGAAGCAGTTGATAAATTATACAATGTCCTACCAAGTAAGAAATTAAAGCCACACCACCAAGGTCCAAAGATGCAGGCTTTTCTAGTCAATCCTGTCGACTGAGTTTTTAAGTCCAAAATGGTGTGTGAGAATTTTAATAAATTTTATTAGAAGATGAGCAAATTGACTTTGGCCAAAAAAAATGGCAAAATACACAATTGTCTTTCGAAGTAGTCGTTTTGTTTTCTTGTCTCTATTCATAATAATCTTTCCTTTTTTTTTTTTTTT